ATATTTTTTTATCCATTAAAAAACTAAATATTAAATGTCTTGTTGCCACTACTTCAAACCCTTAAGAGTAGCAGACATTAAAGGCAAACCGGGGAAAATATGTTTCTCTATGAAATTACAATAAAAAATATAGTTTTCTATTTGTTATTTCATCAGAATTATATCCCAAAGTCCAAAATAATAAAACATTTATTATTGTGTATCCTGATATCAGATACTATTTTCATCACCTCTTGATGGCTGGAGGAAAATCAAAACAAAGATTACAGACAAGTAGCCCAAAGCAACTTTAACAAGCAACCATCCTGACTGTTTACACAGCTCTGTGCATCACTAATGATTACAAAACTGTATCACAGACACACAAAATTTTTTTTGATTAGTGAATAAAAGTAGTACACTGTTTCATTATTTAGTAAATATGAAGATCAGATAAAAAAAAAAAAACATTTAAACAGTAGTATGTGCTTCTCACAGACTGGGATAAAATGACCAAATATAAAATGTTACATAAGAAACCCTAATATGAGTTAAATATATTGTAAAACAAAATAATTGTGAATGCAAAACACACCCTTCTTTCTACTTACCTCTCACCATTTACTAATGTTAACTTTCTTTATGTAGAAATCCAAAAATCGATGTATTCTTGCTGGCTGATTATGTTACATTTCTCTTTTATTGATAACCATTATATAAATCTCTTTAACAAACCATGAACTAACATTCTACACAAAGCACAAATAGGATTGAACTTTTGTATAATTTTCCAGCACAGACAAGAAGTTGATAAATGAAAGCAACAAATTCTCCCCATATTTTCTTTCTGCTGAGTGATCTGTATTGTAGTGCAGTTTGATTTTTTCTCATTTTGAATTGAAAAAGCTTCCTGGATGGGAAGCAAAAGATCTTCAAACTTGGAAACAGATTCCAGTGGAATGTTTTTTAACTTTTATTGGAATGATTTTGTTAACCCCTCTGGAGACAATCTGAACCATGAAGAGAAATGTTTCAGCACAGAGGAGAAATCTGAAGTTAGTCTCTGAAACCTGTTAAAAATTAACATGAAGTAGTAAAAAAATTAATAGATTACAGGGTCAAAACTAAATAAAACTAGAACTTATTGAGACGTTCTTGCTTGTTAGTTTTGAGGTTTTCTGTTCAACCATTAAAAACCTAAACAAACTTCAAATATTAAGTTGCTGATTGATCTATCTGTAAACATTTTTTATTGTCCAGAGGCCAGAAGGCACAAGCAGCTCAATTAATTTGTCCTTCTTTGATGTAATTATGTACGCTTGTAACAAATTCATTTGTAATTAATAAATCCTAAATGTTTTATCATCTCACTGCAATGCAAACAGGATTTGGGTGAAAATGTTTTTAGGCCATTGAGTTTATTTAAAGGAGACAAAATGCATTTAGTGCCTGATTCAGTGAGAAATAGAGACAAGAAGGATCTAAATAATGAATAAATCTCACGTCCTCTTCTATTCTTAACTAAACTATGACACCAGTATGTACTTTTTGTGTGTCTGTGTGTGTTAAATAGGCTATTTGACAGACAAAGTGTTAATTTCCAACCCTTTCTTCCAAGCGAGAATCCTGCCCTACCGATTCATTGACAGTTTCTGTGTGTTTACTGCCGGGAGAACCTTCATCATTTCTAACTGAAATAATGACACTAACGAAACCATTTCATTTGTTTTCTTTTCATTCCTTTGTTTTTTAGCGAGGGTCTTGTCTTAATGTTGTGTGAACAATTGTTTTAGATGTTTTAAAGTACGAAATGTGGAGAAAATCCGCCTCTTAATGCTCAGAAACATCGAGCTTCAGACACTTTTGAGCGTTCCTGGGTCAAAAAGAGAAAGTCCTGGAAACAAAATGCTACCTCATTGTGTAGAACGGGCATTAACCTTTCCATTAAAGTAAGTTATATGATAAAAAACTTTAATTTAGCGAAGATTTAAAGCCTTAAATGCCGCGAAGAAAACACAATTGCGGAGCGATTTGAGGCGGGAGCAGAGCAGCAGGCTGAGTTGTTTCTTCAGGGTTCTCATCCATATTATAAATCCCGCCTCCTGCTCTGAGCTGGAGACGTTCAGAGGAACATTAAGAGAGAAACATGGCAGAAGAAGCTCCAGCAGCTGCACCGGCTAAAGCCCCGAGGAAGAAGTCCGCTCCTAAGGCCAAGAAGGATGGACCCAGCCTGTCCAAGCAGATCGTGGACGCCGTGGCCGAGTCCAAGGAGCGCAAAGGAGTGTCTCTGTCGGCGGTGAAGAAGGTCCTGGCTGCTAAAGGGGTGGATGTAGCTAAAGCCAACAAGCGGATCAACACGGCCATCACTAAGTTGGTGACCAACGGCACCCTGGCCCACACCAAGGGGACCGGGGCCTCCGGTTCTTTCAAGCTCGCCAAGGAGTCCAAATCCGCTAAACCAGCCAAGAAGGTGGTGAAGAAGAAGGCTCCCGCAAAAGCCAAGAAGCCCGCCGCCAAGAAGGTCAGCACCCCGAAAAAAGCCACCGCTGCTAAGAAAGCGACAGCAGCCAAGAAGTCTCCGAAGAAGGCAGCAGCGGCCAAGAAAAGCGTGAAAAAGGTGGTGAAGAAGAGCCCCAAAAAGGCCGCCCCTGCTGCCAAGAAGCCAAAGGCTGCTAAGAAGCCTGCAGCTAAGAAACCTGCAGCCAAGAAACCTGCAGCTAAAAAGGCCCCAGCTAAGAAGGCCAAGAAGTAGACTGCTGCTTCAACCAGCACTCGGTGCAACAAAGGCTCTTTTCAGAGCCACCACAGCTTCATCCCAAGAGCTCATTCCTTTAGGCATTTAGTTAATTACTTAAATAGATAATATCCTCAAACTTAAAGGCAGTGATTAGAGTGGCTGATCAATGGAATTATAAAAATCAGTTTATTTCACTCATGACTGAACCCCATGGGACAGCCTCATCCATGATTCACAGATTTACCCTAAAATAACGGGATAATTTCACTGTGATCACATTATTAACACAAAGAAATAACTCCACCTCAACAAATGTTTCTGTGAATGAAAGCATGAAAATTAGCTTTTTAATTAGACATAATGTTTAATATAAAAACAAAACTATTTCAGCATGGACACCATTTTACTCAAGGTAATACTTTTATTTTATCTAAGTAAAGTTTAATAGCTGTAAATATTTAATAAAGGACAAAAAGAAGGGAATCCATGGCAGTAAAAAATATGTTAAAAAAAATTGAAAATGAAAGCACTAGATTTAATTAAAGGTTTCTATTATGAAAGCAGATATAAGTCTAAATAGTTACATGTGTAGTCTCCTTGGCGTTTGGCAAGGATGTAAAAACTAAGTTTAATATTTAAAACAAGCACATTTATTTTACAAATATATTTCCTAAAATGATCATGAATAACACATTTTTATTATCTAATATTCTGCTAAAGCAAATATCAGACTTTTCAGAATGAAATTCCCTTATTTACCTTGGATTTTATTTTACTCCGTATTTTTCTTTTTTGTTACACATCTCGCGCTTTATTTTGAAATTTCAAACTCAACCAATGACTGAATTGGATGGAGGGTTACTACGTGTTTAATTTGGTCCAATCAGAGGCCACCTCACGCCGCACGTCTCTTTATAAAGCTGCTGTTTCGCCTGTGGAATCATGTTATCCTCGTTGAGTGAGAGATAAGCACCTAGTCCGCCATGGCCAGAACGAAGCAGACCGCCCGTAAATCCACCGGAGGAAAGGCTCCCAGGAAGCAGCTGGCTACCAAAGCTGCCCGTAAGAGCGCCCCGGCTACCGGTGGAGTGAAGAAGCCCCACCGTTACAGGCCCGGTACCGTGGCTCTCCGGGAGATCCGCCGTTACCAGAAGTCCACTGAGCTGCTCATCCGCAAGCTGCCCTTCCAGCGTCTGGTCAGAGAGATCGCTCAGGATTTCAAGACCGACCTGCGCTTCCAGAGCTCCGCCGTCATGGCTCTGCAGGAGGCCAGCGAGGCTTACCTGGTTGGTCTGTTCGAAGACACCAACCTGTGCGCCATCCACGCCAAGAGAGTCACCATCATGCCCAAAGACATCCAGCTGGCCCGCCGCATCCGTGGAGAGAGAGCATAAGTCAAGCTCATCCAACAAAGCCCAACGGCTCTTTTAAGAGCCACATAATTCTCTCTTCAGAGCTCTGATCCTGTATTAAGTGATGTACAGCGTACATTAGAAATGGAATGAAAAGAAAAAGATCCTTCCAGATTAGGCTATAAGCCTCCTGTATAAATGTTCAATATTTATGTAGTAAGACTGACTAGGAAGGCTCAAGATGAACCTCCATCTGCAGCAAACGTATTTAGAAACAATCAATTATTCTTAGTGTATAGTAAATCCAAAATGTACAGAATTTAATGTGTAGAACATCTATAGATGTTTTGGTCGTTTTAATAAATCCACTTCCTATAAATGTTGAATCGTCTACTAATGATTATTGCAGCAAAAATGCTACATAAATGTTGCAAAACTTATGTAGATTATTTTCACATTTAAATATTTTACAAGCATCCATCGAAATGTTAAAAGTGGGTTTTCATTTTGTTTTGCAGTAATTTATAATTGTTTACTAAACTCTTTTACAGTGTTTACATTTGGGTACAGTTCTGAACAATTCTTGTATGTAGTGTGTAGCTCTTGAGATACAGAATTTCTCTGGTACAACCATATGCAAGTGTTTTCTTTAAAGAGGTGTGTTATTGTGTCTGTGAAGGGGTTGAATAATTTCCACCAGCTGGCAGCCTGAAGCCACGGCCTCAACCTTTAGCCACGCCCCGATCTGTCGGCTGCATTTAGTGGTAATTAACAGAAGCAGACTGCGGGAAAAAGCCGCCTGCTTTGATTGGACGATTGGATTTGTTGTTATATTTGACCAATCAGAGAGCATATGATCCACGACAGGCCTTATATATACTCCAAATGCGCGTCCTGACAGCCACTTGTTAAAGTAAACCTACTCAGAAATCATGTCTGGACGTGGAAAGACCGGAGGCAAAGCCAGAGCAAAGGCCAAGACCCGATCCTCTCGTGCTGGGCTGCAGTTCCCAGTCGGCCGTGTTCACAGGCTGTTGAGGAAGGGCAACTACGCTGAGCGCGTGGGCGCTGGAGCTCCCGTCTATCTGGCTGCAGTGCTGGAATACCTGACTGCTGAGATCCTGGAGTTGGCTGGAAACGCTGCTCGTGACAACAAGAAGACCAGGATCATCCCCCGTCATCTGCAGCTGGCTGTCCGCAACGACGAGGAGCTCAACAAACTGCTTGGCGGAGTTACCATCGCTCAGGGCGGTGTTCTTCCTAACATCCAGGCTGTGTTGCTGCCCAAGAAAACCGAGAAACCAGCAAAGAAGTAAAACTGCAGGCACTCTAAAACAAACCAACGGCTCTTTTAAGAGCCACCCAAATCTCACTAATGAGCGGGATTTACTATTAGAACATACACACTTACTGAGGAAACCATAACATGGATACTAGATGTGAAAATAAATGTCTTTATAAGAACATAAAAGGAAACGTGAGGAAGCATACAAATCCTAATAACATATGTTCATATCCACTGAAATTAATAAATTTTTAATGAAAACCTAAGACTGCACTCCATAAATACTGGTTTGTTAAGCACCTGCCTCATTTTCAGTGTCAAGGTCCTATTGATTTCCTTAGGTTTTGTTTATAAATATTTTTTTCTTAGGTGCGTTTTTTTTTTTTCCATTTTCTTTATATAAATTGTAGTAAAGGACAGTTACAAAAGTTCAAGTCGTTTCACTTGTAATTGTTTGTTAAAAGTGACATATAAATTTGGAACTAACCTGCACACTACACAAAGCTGATATCACAGCTGATACACAGACAAGATATCTAATACTATCTAATAAGTTATTGGAAACTCCATATGAACCAAAACCCTTTTCTATGAACTGCATCTTCTTAATAAATCAGTTATTTCCATTCGGTTTGATCCTATACCAGCTGGATTTTTTTCTTTATTTAGAGTCTCTTGAACTTGTATCTTAAGGGCGGAAATGTGGTTAGAGGCGGGAAAAGAGGGTGGCTTGTCCTCATTTAGGTCCGTAGGGTGTATTTATAAGTAGCTGCTCAGCGATCTAGCAGTATTCTCTCTGTCAGTTAGACATAGACAACATGAGCGGCCGAGGCAAAGGAGGAAAAGGACTTGGAAAAGGAGGCGCTAAGCGTCATCGCAAAGTCCTCCGTGATAACATCCAGGGTATTACCAAACCCGCTATCCGCCGTCTGGCCCGCCGTGGTGGAGTCAAGCGCATCTCCGGTCTCATCTACGAGGAGACCCGCGGTGTCCTCAAGGTTTTCCTGGAGAACGTCATCCGTGATGCCGTCACCTACACCGAGCACGCCAAGAGGAAGACAGTGACCGCCATGGATGTGGTCTATGCTCTCAAGAGGCAGGGCCGCACTCTCTACGGCTTCGGAGGTTAAATTCCAACTCAATCCCACAAAACAACGGCTCTTTTAAGAGCCACCCACATTTCTTAAGATGATTCCTGCTGTTATAGTCAGACACTAAAGTAAGCTGGAAATACCAGGTATACTGCAGCTCATAAAGGGCTCTGAGTTTTTATATTTTCGGTATTAAATGGTACAAAGGTTAGAAATAGGACATTTTCAGGTCTTTGAGGAATAAAGAATGGTTCCGTCATTACTGATTTAAAAACACGGCCAAAGGAGGGTGTTGTATGGAGGACCAATCCTGCCATAGTTATGAATATATAAATAACCGCAATATATTGCTGACCTACAATTTCCTTTAGGGAGCAATTGGAAACAATATCTACATTTATAAGAATAAAAAGATATATATATATATATATATATATATATATATATTTATAAATGGATATCCATTTTTTTTCTTTTAAACAATGAATATTGTCAATTACTAATTAATTTATTTTGCTCTGAAGAGGCAGAGCTGCACTATATGGCATTGAAGGTTAAATTCCAACTCAATCCCACAAACAATGGCTCTTTTAAGAGCAACCCACATTTCTTAAGACGATTCCTGCTATTTGAAATTTGATTAGAAATTCGGTTTACCGCTGGTATTAAACAGCCTTAAAATAAAATTTTCACTGACATTTCAGAATATAAAAATCCCTTCATTGTCCCATAATAGGGAAATATTATTACAGCAGCAGAAATGTAGCAAAGACACCAATGTGCACCATGGTAAATAAACAGAAAATCGTATAAATGTGGTATAAAGCTAATTAATAATTGGTAGTATAGTTGGATTTAATTGCCGCATGTGAAAACAAAGAGAAATGCCTATACAAAGTCACATCTGTATATTAGTGACATATGGTCTTTGAAAATAACTATAATTATGTATCTTTTGCTTAAGCCAGTTTATCTCCAATTTATCTCCCTCCGCTTATAAAAATTCATCAGACTTGTATTACTGTTACTCTATCTTTCCTTATGTCAAGTAAATGTACTGCTGTTTTATTATATTTTAGCTCTCGTTGTCCAGCCACCCATTCATTTTTAAAACACTTTCCCTGTATTTTATTTCCATACCTATTTTTTTGTGATCCAACACATCGCTGTGGTTTTTCTCAGCAAACCGGTGTATTTTCGCCTCTTTTTTCTTTTCTGCCATTCATTTTCCACCTCTATGAGCTAGTATCAATGGCTAACTTCCATAGTGTTCTTGCTAGTTCATTTCACTGTAGTAAGCTGTATTTAACAGAATTTCCTTTTCTCTCAGTTGTTGTAGATGTTTCGACTCCTATCTAGGAATCTTATTTAAGCAGCATGGAAGTTCATTACAGGGCAGATGTTCTTTGTTCTTCTGGCTTTCTGTTGCACATGAACTGTTTTTGAACATTTTCATTCCTTGATGACAGAGGCAAGGGGCTAATAGATAAAAACAGAAATGCTCAGATCGTTTCTTACTGTGATGCTACAACAGGAGCAAACTAAGAAGCATTATAACTCCCATCCCCCCTCTCTCACACACAGAACCAGTAAGAGTCTCACTGAGGACCAATAGCTGCTCTAACCTTCCGAGAATGTAAACCAATCAGAGACAGGGTACAGCACAGACTATTTTACATACACCCTGTATATAATCACTGGTCTCCTCCTCCAGTTCATTCATTGCTGTTTCCAGGAACGCATCAGGATGCCTGAACCCGCCAAGTCTGCGCCCAAGAAGGGCTCCAAGAAAGCCGTGACCAAGACCGCCGGCAAAGGAGGCAAGAAGAAGAGAAAGACCAGGAAGGAGAGCTACGCCATCTATGTGTACAAGGTGCTGAAGCAGGTGCACCCCGACACCGGCATCTCCTCCAAGGCCATGAGCATCATGAACTCGTTCGTCAACGACATCTTCGAGCGCATCGCCTCCGAGGCTTCCCGCCTGGCTCACTACAACAAGCGCTCTACCATCACCTCCAGGGAGATCCAGACCGCTGTGCGCCTCCTGCTGCCCGGTGAGCTGGCCAAGCACGCAGTGTCTGAGGGAACCAAGGCTGTCACCAAGTACACCAGCTCCAAGTAAACTCACTGCCGCAAACTCAACAAAGGCCCTTTTAAAGGCCACACAAATGTCAACAAGAGCAATTGTTTCCTTTGACAAAGTGGGAATATTAAGGATCTGGTTATTGTTTGTATTAAACATTGTGCTAAACTGTTTTAATAACAGATTTTAATACAGGCAGCTGGAGGCTACCCAATGCACTTCAACTGGAGCCCAAATTATACTTAGCATTATAAAGTGTTTTTCAAAATATGTGTGTGTGTGGCGAGACCATTACTATAACCACAGTCAGGGCTAATTTTAGCCCGTCTGCAGTAGCTGAAGTACCGCTGGCTCGATGGTGATTCTTTTTGTTTTGTTTTAATTGGCAAAAAAGTTTATTTGATATGTGTTTAACTGACTTTATTATTCCCCCACTAAATTAATAGATAAAGAACTTATTATCTTGATACTAACAGGTGAAATGCAGCTCAAGTACGCTTCTGGGTTCTCCCAAAGTCCAGACTTTCCTGTGTTCTTCTCAAGAACCTACTTGGCGATTACTCACATTCTTGTGAATTGAGAAATAACTATCAATGTAGTCTCAACACAGGAAATGTGTTAAAATGTTTCATGACACCTCATCAACCCGTCACTAGTAGCATGCGCCATAAAATGTAACAGTCGTAAAGCTCTTTATGCAATAAAACGGAAAATGCTTGTTCCTTTATATCCAACTGGTGAAGCATTTATCGAATGGTGCCAATCTAAACACACCTGCACCTCCAGAACATAATGTTGGATAGCATTAACAGAATACCAACATAAACAACACTCTTTAATACAAAACTAGGATAAAATGGTGATGTTTCCCCATATTGACATTACCCAGCAGCCCTTGTGGCTATTCCAGCCGCACAGGACATTACAATGACTGCCTGAGTGACTGATGGAAAAAGAAGAAATAGAGCTTGGACTGACAGACACAAAGCTACTGATTGTAAACACTTCATCATGACCTATTATGTGCGCCTACTGTTCAGAATTCATGTTTATCTGAATAAACACGTTTTCATCACCAGTTATAGAACAGTTTTCTCAAGCAGTTTGTGATTCATTTTGGAAACAGGAGCCCCTGGTGTAACACTCTACCTGGATTGAGAAACCTGTTCAAAGACTTGCTTTTATTTAGGTAGCACACATACATCCTCCTCATCTTATAATATTCTTATCTTATTTTATACTTACCCTTATTGTGTTATATCTTATTTATACTGGAAATTTTATTGTTTTATCTTCTGTCAGCGGTTGCCATGGAAGAAAATAAAATTGCTGCAAGGATTAATAAAGTAATTGTAATTCATGATTGATCTTTAGCAGAATTCAAATGAGTCATTTCAATCTAGATTAATCTAAACTAATTCCAAGATTGATGAGTGAAAATGAGCACAAAGAAGACATTATAATATGTGCCCCTTTTTCCAAACACAAAACAAAATATAAAAGATGGTCTGATGAGCAATTTAGGATGTAAGTGCAAGCCACAGTCAGGTCATGTTTTTGCCCAAAAATGAAAAAAAAAAAAAGAAGAAATCAAGGTTACATTTATTTCTTATGTTACATATTCTATAGCTGCATATAAAATTTACTGGTAATCAATTTAAATTGTCTTTCAAATTATTGAACAGATTCAAATCAATTAAACTATTTAAGATCTGGTATAGACTCAGATTAGGAACAAACTTTTTGGGGGATTATTAAAGAGATAAATTTACTGATATGAGTATCAAAAAAGTCCCAGGACAATAAAAAGACAAAAGTTTTATGAGAAAAAACATATTATGAGAATAAAGGGGGAATATTTCCAGAATAGTCACAGTTTGCAGAAATATCAAAGGCCCTGGAGCAATAGGGCAGATTAGATTATTATAATTAATTCTTTAGGAGAATAAAGTCAGGAAAAGGACAAAAATAGACAATATTACAAAAATAAAAATGTTAAGAATATAAATTATATTCTGAGATTAAAGTCCCGCTGATACTGTTTAAGGG